GAGGGGGCTCCGGTAAAAAAGAAAGCCACAGGCTTGTGGATGTAAGGGTGCAGGAATTTGGGTTGGGGTATGTGAGGGGCTCAGGGCAGGGATTCCAGTGTATGATAGGCTCAGATTTAGGGTCTGGGGAAGGGGGAATGCTGGAGTGGTTGCTAATAGAAGGTTTTCCCGAATAATGACTGTAAGATCAGATCCTAAATAATCCTTTAATGCATGTTTTCCATAATAAAAATGTGTATATGTACATATCTTTGTAATGAGATGCAGATACTCCAGTATGCATTACTGTGGGTCTTCTAACCAAGTGTGGATTAAGGGATAATCCATCTGCTCCATGCTGAGACTCCAGTTTAAAGCCAATCATGCAGTATTAGGCACCACAAGTTTTCTGCAAAATTGAGAGAGAGGTTTATGGCTTTAAACTGCATTTTAAAATATAATGCAGGGTATGGTATGCTTCTGATTTTAGGTTTTGAAGATGATTATATTTTGTAAGGGAAAAAACTTTTTTTAATGGCAAGCCCAGGAATATTACTGAGAGGTTACTATTTAAAAAGTCAGCATTTGCCAGTATTTACAGCACGGTGGTATTTGACATGCTGCAGTTATTTGGTGTTCTAAACTGAGGAACTGAGCATCTTAGACAACAATGTGTTAGCTGTACAATTGGAATGGATGTTGACTATGCTGGTAGTGGTTTCCTGAAATGCATTGTGCTTTTTTTTTTAATATTACTGAGAGGTTACTATTTAAAAAGTCAGCATTTGCCAGTATTTACAGCACGGTGGTATTTGACATGCTGCAGTTATTTGGTGTTCTAAACTGAGGAACTGAGCATCTTAGACAACAATGTGTTAGCTGTACAATTGGAATGGATGTTGACTATGCTGGTAGTGGTTTCCTGAAATGCATTGTGCTTTTTTTTTTAAAGCACCTGTTAATCTTGCTGTGAAAGAGTTAAGAGGGTTCCGTTGACTCACTGAGACAGGTGGATTTTTTCCCCCACCTGGAGAAAAGGGGGGAGTGAGAGAAGTTTTCATGAGGAAATTAAAAGAGCAAGAGAATAAGTTGTGGGCTGGGTATTTTTATACTAGTAACTCTTTACACTACAGGCTTTCAACCTTTTTTCACTTGTGGACCTCTAAAACATTTCAAATGGAGATGTGGACCCTTTTGGAGATCTTAGACATAGTCTCTGAACCACAGATTGAAAGCCACTATTCTATGGTAATAAGCTTTTGCAGACCCCTTAGGCATGGTCCACAGAGGCTAGAACTTGAACAGGGTTCAAAAAAGAGCTAGATAGATTCATGGAGGTTAGGTCCATCAATGGCAATTAGCCAGGATGGGTAGGAATGGTGTCCCTAGCCTCTGTATCTCTGGAGGTGGGTGACAGGGGAGGGATCACGTGAGGATCACCTGTTGTGATCCCTCCCTGTGGGGCATCTGGTATTGGCCACTGTCGGCAGACAGGATACTGGGCTAGATGGAGCTTTGGTGTGACCCAGTACGGCCGTTCTTATGTTCTTATGACCCTGGTTGAAAACCATTGCTCTAAACAGCTACATTCTGGGGAGAGGGCTTGCATTGAACTTCATTATCTTATTCCTAATTTCTTTATTCTTAAAGAAATACCCCAAAACCAAAAAAGGGGTGGTTTTTGATTCAACATATGTTTTAGAACAGGTTGTGAAAGCTCATAGTCATGTATCCCAGAGAGAGCATAAGCTGCTATATCTAGAGCAAGAGCATATAGGTCATGTGCCTTCAAATAAAAATATTGCTAGTAGGTGTTACTTTAAGCCCTGCTGGCCTGGATTGGGTCAGCTGTTCAAGTGACCTAAAGAGAAACATTTTGGTAATGTACATTTTTGTGATGCAGCATTCATGTGTGTCACTGGACTAAACTATTAAATTGGGGGATGGGAAGAGGCATTATTAATAGGCTATTGAAAATTATTTGTGAATTTATGAAATATGATTGTGTTAAGTTATCTGATGTCAGACCATCTCCCCACATCACACTGTGTACAAACGGTCCACATAGGAATGGGAAGTTGGCATGAGAGTTATGTAGGTGTGATGGGGAAGGATGTGTATCAAGTGTCCTTGCTAGCAGCTGCTGTGCTTCTTCCATGCACTACTTTCTCAGTATATACTTGGGATTCCATAGTGCTGCAAAGGGTACAGGAAGAGAAGCTGGGAGCTGTGATCCTGATTCTTCCTCTGCACGAGATCAAAAAATGTACATGTCACTCAAGCACTTCTGAAGACTAGGAAATAAATAGAGGGCAAGATGGGAGTCAAGAACAAAATAGTCCCAAAGGTCTCATGCAACTTGACTTTTTAAACAGCTAGGTAACCCTTCTCAAACTTATCTGTTTCTAGAGCTTTCTCTTCTCTGTGTGGCTGAACTATAAGAGGAGCCAGGTTTTTTGGGGAAAAAAAAGAATTAAACAAATGTACTGGATCAGTACATAGTGATATTAGTAAAAATTGAATTTTCTTTGCACAAGGTTCAGGCACTGCAGAATAGCAAATTTTGCATCTTTAAAGTGCTCTCTATACATTTAAAATACGATTGATGTCCATGTTTGCATGGTATAAGATTGGAAAGATATTTTAAAACATGCCATAAACACATTGTAATACAAAAAATGGCTAAGATGGTAAAACTAAGTGAGAGAGACCAGAAAGGATTTGGTCTGCCTAATATTTTAATGAGTAATTGAGTAAAAATATCCTGCAAATGTGAAGTGAAGACCTAGAAAATATTATTTCTGGTATCCACCATGTTAAGTTCTGCTTATTTGCACTAAAGCTAAGATTAGCTGAACTGGTTAGAGCTATGTAGTCATGCTACAGCATTGGTGAAGTCATACTAAATGTGGTGTCAGGAAACCTCTCTCTTTTTGTGGAAGGAGTACAGTATTTTGTATGAATTCCAGTATCATTATGTATCATAAATGTGCTTTATTGTGCATTATGTTTTAACACTTTGCTGGCTTTCCATTACTCTTCTGATGGTGCTGCTGTTTATTAATACAACACCAAAATCAATAGAACATCATTGTTATTGGTGTATTTGGTTTCAGCTGTATTCACTAGCTGTTAGACATTTCTAAGTATGAGAGAAGATAGTCCCCCCGCCGTACAAAATAAACAGACAATGGGCCCCACACTAAGTAATACGGCCAACTACTACCATGACTATGTTTGCTAATACATTTTAATACTAAAATGAACTATTTTTGTAATATAAAATTTCTAGGTACTCACAATTTAAGTACAATCAACCTCAGAAACTCCTGCACATCTTAGTACGCTGAATAATGTAACTTACACTGACTGCCACCTCTTTCTCTTATGAACCAATCTTAAAGAATCTCTATGGTTCCCAGTACATTTTTTATCTTAAATTAGGTCCATTTGTACTAGGCAATCTATTTTTGCTTGTCTCTAGGATGGTTGCTTAACAAGTCTCCTGCTATCCTAAAACTTCACAGGAAAGTATATAAGAGCATGTATTTAACTGGAATCAGTAACTAAGACTAATTGAAGAACCAATATACAAAAATGAATTGGGCATCTGATTTAGCTAGCTCTTCAGTGCCACGCCATCTGTTTTGACCCTATCTCTATAGTGGCCACTTATTTCCAGTGGTCAAAAATAAAGCTGTTGGTGGCAGAGCTCTCATTTGCCCCAAGACATGTTTAACTACCTTATGGACACACTTATGGCTCCTGGGTCACATGCCTTGCGTTATGTCCTTTCATTCCCATTTTAAAAAGATTTGACCTCCAGGGGATACTTGGACATTAGGTTATTAAACAGAATGGATTTTGTGCACATGTAGTTTTTGGACCACATTAAATATGTTTTAATTTGACAACAAAGAATTAATGTGATAACTTTTTAATTGAAAAGTATAATTGTATTTACACTGATTGTGAAAGAAGAAACTTCATGTTTCCAAGTGATGCTCTTCTAGGTAATTATACTATAATCTGCCCACCTAACTCCCATACCACGCAGGTCCACTGGGTTACAACATTGTTCTGAAACTGCTGCCTGATGTTGCTTGTTTGAACTTCTGCGTGAGAATCCTTCCATGCTAGCAGAATGGCGTGCTCTCTTTTTCTACAAACCTGCAGAATTCTTTGAAGAAAATCCTGTGACTTCATAGTAGAAGCTAACGTTGCTAGTGCCATGTGGATTTTTTACTCAAAAAAACTGAGAAATCCTCAGGAGGGCTGCTGGTGGGGTGCAGATACTCCCTTGTCACAACTATGATACAAGTTGAAGATTTCTTCTCCCATCAGTCACTCATACAAACCAGCCAAGAATTGCAATTGAATCAGTACCAAGGCAATCTAAATTTTTAAATTGTATTTAAGACACCTGCCATGCTTCTGAATTCACAAACTCAGCATTCTAAATTTTTAAATTGTATTTAAGACACCTGCTGTGCTTCTGAATTCACAAACACAGCAGAATTAACATTTATTTTCTGAAATGTGAGAGTGAAAAGGAAAATCCTCATCTGATCACTAGCATGGACTCTGTAGGATAGCGGAGATTGAATTTAATGTGTGCTTTTGGGGGTTCACTTCTGTCATGTTCTTTGTGCATTTGTGTGTATGTTTATCTATGTACTCACCTATCAAATCTCTACACCATTGCAGAAGAGATACCAGTCAAGATTTTTACAAGTGCTTAACAATTTTCAGGCCCTGAGAGACCTTAAAAGGTCTTGATTTTCAGAAAGTGCTGAATGTCTATTTAAAAACTAGTGCCCAGTAAGGAGTTTCAAGTTGGGCCCCGAAAATCACTATTCCCTCTTGAAAATGTTGGCCAGTTTATTTTAATCAGTTGCTTAAATAATAAATATACAGCTTGCTATCTATGTTATAAACATTAAAATATTTCTGTGTGAGAAATTTTGGATATTCCCCTCTGCTCCAAAACTTACTTGGAATATTTGTTCTTATTTTTTCAGAAACTCTCCTATACAAAAGAAGCAATGGACGGGTGAGTATTTATATTGCCCTGCCCGGTAAGAGCGATGAAGCTGAATCGAGATGTTTTGTAAATCTTTCTCTTGTTCTGGTTTCCCTCAGTGCCTGTAGCGACTGGTCCTGTGGGTAAGTCATTTTTACTTTTTAAAGCTTGTGGCAAGTCCCTACTTAATTTAGTTTACATGTTGCAGATTTTGCTGTTAGTCTGAAGTGATAAAGATTGAAATTGACCCTAGTGCTGAAATTCGAGTCCCACCCACTCCCTTGGTAGCTCAAGTCCTCCCTCCTCACCTATCCTGGGAGCGAACAAACAGCCAACACAGGATAAGGGATCCTCTGAAGGTAGGGAGGGGTGGGTTCTGGAGTGGCTTAGGGAATAGGGCATTCACCTTGGGAGCGCAGGGTGGCAGTTTGAGTCTTGCCCCTCTCTGCCCACCGTGGGAGTGACCAGACCACCAACACAGGATAAAGGACATCCTGACGGGAGGAAGGTGGGGTGGGCTCAGAGAGACTTCAGTGGGATGGAGAGCGCTTGTGCAAGATACAGGGCAGAGTGTCCTAGAATGTTTGGCCTGCTCAGAGCGTCTCAGCACAATGCTTAGTTGTGGCCAGCCATGCAAAAATACAGTCTTTACCCGAGAGGTGAAGAGAATATTGCGGGAGATGTGCACTAGGGATGTTAATGTGCAATTGTTCATGCCATTAACCGATAAGTCCAAGCTTATCGGTTAATCCTAACAGTTACATGTACCCCACCCCTTTGCTGCCTCTTATCAGTGGCAGCAAGGGAGAGGAGGAAAGGCATTAACTGGTGCCCATGGGGAGCCAGCTTGTAAGTCCCCTCTCTTTCCCCTCGCCCTCCCACAGAGGCAGCAGTACAGGGGAAGAAAGTTGGGAGCCAGTGCTCAGGGGGAGCCAGCTTTTTAGCCCCCAAGCACTGGCTCCTGTGAAGTTGCCTGCCCCCTGCATTGCTGCCTCTCCTAGAGAGGCAACAGCATGAGGCATAGGGGGACAGGTGAGAGCCGGTACGTGCGGGAAGCCGGCTTTCAAGCCTGCTTGCTGTGCATACGGCTCCAGCAGAACCACCTGCCTTCCACGCTGCTGCCTCTCTATTAGAAAAATAAGTGGTAGTATTTTCCCTATATATTTTGACAGTTAGGGCTTTGTTCTCGGTTGAGGGCAGGGAAGGCTAGCAGACAGGCTGACATCCTTTGTAACCTGTATGTTTCCTCTATCCGCGTGTATGTCATCTTTGGTACAGGACCAGGCTTTGGGTAATGTAGGTGGAAGAACTATCAAGTAGCAAGTATCCTGTGTTTTAATAAACAGTCCAGTGTGCGTGGCTCAATTTTCTTCAGGTTCTCATAGTTTTTAAAGACCAGAAGGGACCATCAAGGTCACCTAGTCTGATCTCGTTCATGTTTCAGGCCACAGAACTTCACCCACCCTATAACTAGGCATGTGAATGCTTGACCTGTAAGCCTCACCCTTAATGGGTGAGTTTTACCAGTTCCACTTAATCGGTGGGGGCTGGAAAAGTTCCTTGCCCACTGCAGGGATGCTCCAATGTTATGCTTAAATGAAGTACACATGATCTTTTATGGGAGAAAAGGCAGTACACCGCATTTATTGAGAATACAACAGTTGCATATGCTTTTCAATCACACACACACACAAACACCATGCATACACAGTCCTGCCAGATGATGTCATAGTTACCAGTCCAGAGTCTGTATCAATCTAGTGGCCAGCCAGATTGATCACAAAGGAGGAGCCGGGCTCTGTCGGTCGATCGATCTGATGTTCCTGGAGTTGGTGGCAAGATGAACCCAAAGTTCCATAGCAAGGCACCCTGCTTTTTATAATCCTTTTCTCCGTTGAAGTCTATGGATTTTACTGTGTCAGTCTGTGACCAGTTACTGTTATCTTGTTGATGTTAATCATTCCCAAAACATCTCCAAGAGGCTCTGTGACGTAGTGGGGGTACTTGCTGGGATGTGGTGACCTCTGCTGTCTGGAGCAAGACCCAGCAGGGAAAACCTCACTAGGCCAAGGTAATGCCAAACTTGTTGAACCAGTGGCCAGACACCCCCCATGGAGAGGAACAAAGGAAGGTGAATGCTGCCCTGGCTGGGGGACAGGGCTGGAAGGGGGTTGTTCGGTTGGTGGCTGTCTGTGAGGATGGATGAGACAGCCTAGGGAGAGGAGCTGGAGTTTAGGGGCCCAGGCTCCCCCCTCTCAAGGGGTAAATTTTGTAATTAAAACAATTCACACTGAAGGCTCGGGCCTTCAACATTCCTCTAATCTCATTGACATAGACACAATATGAGATCATGTCTCTTTACTTACTAAACTTTAAAATATATATCTTACTAAAGGGCTTAATTTAAATGCAATAATGTGTTACCTTACATGGCTACATTATTAAACCTAAAAATACAAATATAAAAAGGATCAAATTTTTAATCCTAACAACAATCTGGCTGGACCCAAGCCCCCTTGAATCAGTTAACCAATTAAACAGCATTTTATATCCCTACGTGTAACAGACCCCTAACTGAGTTACCGTTGTCCTCAATTAATGATTTAAAGACTTCAAGTTGTAGAGAATCCACTGTTTTTATATTAAGTTTAACCCTGAAGTCACTAATGCCCCCATGCTGCAGAGGAAGGTGAATCTCCCCACTCCCCATGTGGTCTATGCTAATCTGACCTAGGGGGAACATTCCTTTCGGACCCCAGATCTATCTGTCTTGATACTTTAATGGTGTTTCTTACTGTTGTAGCACATCGCCTTGCAGTATTTATACTCAGACCACCTGTCTGAGCTTTGGAAATACTATTAATTTTATTTTGTAGATGGAAAGATGAGACACTAAGCAGGTTGCCTGTGTTCACAGGTGTAATCTGAAGCAGAGTAGGGAATTGAACCTGGGTCTTTTGAATCCTGTGTCAGTGCTCTAATCACTGGGCCATTGTTCTTTGTTTTGGTCATATATTGTCACTTAACACAAGTTGAGAGACCTGATACTACATCGATTTTGCAGTCTGGTCTTTTTTACTCATGATGAAGAATGCAAGGAGGTTTTCTACTGGTTTCCATTCTTCAGAGTGCAATTTCCAAAGCATTGTTTTAGGGACAAGAAATTAAAACAGTGCTTTATTTTTGTGAATTTTGACAAGTCTTCCCTCTGCTGGGAAGCTGCCGTTTACAGGTTTAAACGAATATAAGCGGTGAATTCTCTACAACTTAAAGTTTTTAAATCATGAATTGAATACAACAGCTATTGTG